TGGGTCGGTACTATCACTCTGCCATCTTTTGATGTATAAACTAATTATTCTTTAAAAACCGTTTACGAATGTTTCAATATACATATTTTCACACCTTATCTTATTATCCACCTTTATGTAATTGTTTGAAATAAATTTAACAAAAATTTTAAAGCTTAACCAATTTATTATTTTGACATCTCCGTGCCTTTTACAATAATAAGCAAAAAACAACAGCTACTTTAGGGCATTATTGGTTATATGTGCGGCAAATACCATTACTGATTCGTATTTAATGCCAAATGAAAGATGAGTTAAAATAAGTCATCATATTTTAAGTTATATTTTAAACACCACTTAAACAAAATGATAAAAAGTTTAAAAACTAACAGAAACCTGATCCAATGAATAATAAATAATAGAGCATCAAAATCGAGAATATTTGGTGCATGAAAAAAATAAAAAAAATCCTAGGCATTGTTTGGTATTTTAAAACGCAATAGTTACAACAGCAACAGTTACTACAAAATTACATATACCGAATAATACAAGCATTACTTTCATCAATTCAAAATACGCTTCAAGGATTTTTTTTAGACTCGCACAAGAGAAAGCACTTTAAACACCCAAAAATCATTAAATTCCATTGCAAGCTCGCACTCTGTTTAGAGCATAAGTTTTAATCAAAATCTTACAAACCCAATAATGATAAAGCAAACTCTTTTCTTTCAAAATGTTTTTTTTTTCTTATGCGATAAAGAGACGTGAATCACGGAACACCATCTTTATAGTTACTTGGTACACTCACAACTCTCCCACGTTACTAAAAATGTTCATTTACTGTACTAACAAATCCTGAATTTTTTTATGATTTTTATTTTATTTTGGCCAAGAACAAAGCATAAGGCACCGAAATAGATTAATAATATTTCAACTATTTTCCATAGCTTCTTCAATAGCATCACTTAGCAATGTTGCCATAGTAAAAAATCTAGATATGTTCTTTCAAAATCTAATAATAACAATAAAACCCAATATAATTTATTTTCCATAGTTTTTCAGAAGTATCAATCAGTAATATTACGATAATATTCATATTTGAATTTATGGTAAAGCTACTAAGTCTAACTGCCGCCGTCCCTAATTTTTGAACTACTGACCAGAGAGAAGGCAGCTAGTCATTAGCACCCTATCACCCACCATTTACACTACTGGTTCAACTCTCACTCATAACGCACCCACTGCTTAGAGTGGAATATTTTGTAGTATCGCATGGATTGGAACCCAACTTGCCACCTTCGAAATGTACAGTTCTACCACAAGGCCAAACCGCACCCTATTACAATGATAAATAATAACGCCCATTTCCACAAAATACTTTGACTACTTTATTCATTAATTCCATTAAATATACCTTAGCCGCATAATAACAACACTTAAAACTAACCTGGATGACAAACCAGGTAGATAACCTTTTGTATCTCGCTGCCGAAACGTTACAGAACTAAAATACTTACCTCTTCTTTGAAAGTTTTTAGGAGCAGTTTTCCTTTAACCTGAGACTTTATTGAAAATGTTGAGTTACATTAAAAAATCAGCACTTTCTTTCCGAGATTTTTCACTAAAATAATTTTTTTCCAACAAAGTTGAAATTGGTATTACATGACAGAATCCTAGTGGCCCAAAAATAAAGGGATTTTTTTTTATCACAAACAAGTTATGTAAGCTCAGTCTAGTCACAGTCACTTTTTCGAAACTTAGCCATTTCTCTCTTCCCCCCTCTGCACATACTTTTAGTCAACATTTGTCTTATTTCTAACCAAAACAGTGCAATGCCGCACACATTTGGTAGCTGAACTTTATATGAAATTATTTGCAGAACTGTGTACAGATAAAGAACTGAAAATCATTACGTTAAACAAACAAAAACCATTGATCTGTTAGGCAATTTATGCACTACTTTGTGTCATGAGATCGTACTTTTTTTTAGCCACACCTTTTTACAATATATAGTACTTTAATCATCTTAGCCCTGAAACTGAGTTATACTTGTCTGTGAGGGCATGGTTTGTGGTCTTCGATATTAGATTAAATTTAGCCTTTGCCATATAATCTTGATACAAACCTTAAACACTTATACTGCATGCATACTAATTTTAAAGTAATTGCTGTTGGACCTACTTGTATGAAAACTATATCAATATAATAATAAAATCAGCAAAAAGTTTTCAACTAGAATAGGGCTGCAAGCCTATGACTGATTCAGCACCTTGCATTATTTTACCCCTCTTTAACACCAAGACAGGTAGATGAAAATTTAAAGGACCTATCATGACCTGTCCCATGAGAGTTAAACAGAACAAAACAACTTAAGGGACCATCTCACGACACTTTCCATGGTGGTTAAACAAAACAATAAAACTAAAGGGAATATTTCATTACACTTTCTCTGATGGTTAAATTGAATACTCTTCCACGTTTTTCCTACAGCATTTAAATTGCATGAAGATCATTCCAAAAGATTTTACATAATAATAAAACAGATTTTCCTACAAAACATGAACAGCTTCCTTGACAAAAATATCACTTCTATAAACTATATGAATAGATTATGCTATTTTACAAATTTATTCTTCAACTGTCATAGCTTTGAGTGCACTATTAGGGGTTTCAAGTGTTGTGTATGTATTATATGTAAACTGTGTTCAAAATCATCTTATTTTACTTGTATCATATTTATAAAATTAGTCATAATACATCCAAGATCTCAAGAAATTTCATTAAAATAGTGATGTTTAAAATTACCTATTGTATATGCATAGTTTTTTCACCAAAAACTTTAAAAAATGATATTTAAAGCAGCTCATATAGAGATACACAGAATAATTATCATAAAAAATTAACCCATATTCAACCAATCTCATTTTTCCAAATAATACTTTTAACTTAACCTGGGATGTTTAATAAAACCCTACTGTACCATTTACACATTTTTCCATAAAACCATATTGCAGTATTTAACATTTTTGAAATCTGAGAGATGTTTTAATCCAGGGTTTAAAAACAAGATAAAATATGACACCCTGACCAAAGTTAGGAAGCACACAAAACATAAAAACTGTAATTACAAATCAAGATGAATTACTTCCAGGATGGTTTGATTAACCATTCTGATTCTAAGAGAAATGGTACTTTATAATACCAGATGGTCCTCAAAAATCGTAAATAATCATTTACAAAATATTATTTATTTCACAAGTAAAATACTAACACCATTTTAAACAATTTTTACATATTTAAATATCAATACTTTAAAAATACTGAATTTTATATGAAATTTGTTTTTCTTGAACTGAAGAATGTTTATGATTAAAAAATAAAACTATTCCTGATGTCCCAAAATGATATACAAGGCCAGATAAAAAGATTTACATATAAGTTCTAAGTATTGTCTACTACCTGCTATCAGGAAAAAAGAACATGAAATACCAATAATTCAATTAACTTTATCAAACAAAATCCTATAATAGAGTTTATGATAAAAAAAACAACAACAACAATAAAAGTTGTATGGAGTTAATGTTGTAAACATTTTATTATTTATTGTTCTTTCTCTTATATTTTTTAAAGATGTTTTGTGAGTGATTTCTTTTGCAACTTGCCTAAACAGAATTAAAGTCTCTGTATGATAAAACCAATTCTAGAATTTAAACTAAAAGATTTCTGAAAAGAAAAATTATTGTTTTGCAAGTTAATTTTCATAAAATTCAGTCTAGCAAGTGACAAGATTTGAAAGGAATAACTATGGCTTCTGTTAATCGATTCTTTCATTTTGTTTTTGGCCTTAAATTGCTTTTTTTGCAAATAGATTGTGATAATACTTAATGTATAAAAACAGCTAAATACTAATAACTTCTCTTTTCCTACAAAAATAAGTTCCCAATGTTTAGTGGATTCATGATGATTTACAGTTACCTCTGTTATATAAGAAAAACTATTTCATTAAAATAATAACTTAGTTTAAACCAAAATATAATTTTTACTTGGGTATGTACACTTGCAGAAAACCTCTTAATTGAAACCTCTTGTCTTTTTATCAAAGAATTTAGTGTTTTGAATTAATAATTTTGGTTTTAGACAAAGAAGATATCAGGAATGTGATACGTATTAAAAATTTCTTAGATATTAATCTGAGGATTTCGTGTACACACATACGAATGAATGTTGAAAATTAAAAAGTTCAAATGTCATGAAATAATGAAAATCCTATGTCAGAAATAGAAGACTGACAAAAAAGCTAGTATTAATTCTAACAAATCTCTAGCTTTTCTAAGTTTGGTATTTTGTACTGTTAATTGTGTAGTTTCACACACACATGGGTTATGGGAAACACAATGATTTCCTTAAATACACTTATAGGAAAATATAATTAGGGATTAAATACACATTAACTTCTGTTGAATTCATTCTGCTGGACCTTTTAATAGTTTCAGTAATTTTATTAATCCTTAAATGAATATTTTCCATACATAATATTCTTGCATATTTTTAACATAAAAGTATTTTACAGGTAATTTTGTTGAAAACAGTACCTAGATTCTATGGAAAAATGAGAAACATTCTTCACAAATTATCAGCTTAACCTTTTGTAAAATTTTATACTATTTCTTTTTAAATTAGAAATAATTAATAAAACACACATATAAAAAAAAGAAATCCTATGACTATAATAAGCATTTTTAAAATACATATCAAGATCTTAAAAAAGGGAGTTACTGAAACTCGTATTTTTTTTTTACAAGTGAAAGAAACTTGCAAATTCCTGACTATGATTTCAAATGCTGCCTAGGAGCGTAGTAAATGTGTTGTTTACTGAGAAAGGCAAGTGTTACCTAGTTACATAGGATGAAGGCAAATACAGTATCACTTGGTTACAAAAGAGAGGCTAATGCTAACTGGTTATAAAACAGAAGCAAATTACCTAGTTACAGAGGATGGAGGTAAATGTTATTTGGTTATAGAAGTGAGAGGCAATTGTTACCTGGCTACAGAAGAGAGGCAATTGTTACCTGGTTACAGAAGGCAGAGGCAAATGTTTCATGGTAACAAACAATCTGGTTATTATAATAAGTGATAGCATGGTAGACCATTTCTGTTACTTTGATTGATTTATGAACAACTACTTTTACCACCATTAGAAAAACATGAAATACTGGAAGAATTAACCTGACAAACTGCATTTTATATTCACATTAAATAAAAATTACTGAATTAGCATTTTTTAAACACATTTATATTTATTTTGGTTAATGAAATCACGTAAAAGTAAAAAGATGTACAATAATAAACTCAGCTTTTTAACACATTGCTAACAAATAGCTCCTTCAGACCATTGTATTATTATTATTACTATCATTATGAAAAAGATAACTTTACTCAGAATGCTGCAACTGCAAACTTAATCCCGTAACATTATGTATTTATTTTGTTAGATGTATAGCTCTCCTCCTCTTTTATTATTGCAGTTAATAAATATACAGAAAAACAATTACAATATACCTCGTACACTGAAAATAAAAGCAAACTAGCTGATCACACAATGTTGCTATATTTACAAAGTACTAAAGATACTAATTTTAGTATCTGAACTACTATGGTATTCTACATTAAAACAGTTACAAAGTATACAACAATTCCAGATCATTAGCTGGTTGTCTACACTTGTAGTTTTCTGAACAACCACTTTTTAATTCCCTATAATGAGTAACATATGGCCCCAAAAATATGGAGTTCTTTTCCCCATTGAATTTAAAGAAAAATAAACATCTTTCTTTTAAACAGTAAATCTCTGAAAACTGTATGCCCCATCACTTTAAACACAAATGTTGGTACTACAAGTACGCCTACAGACCGAAATAAATACCACCATAAATACTTAAAGTAATTAGTACCAATATCACAATTATTACGCACCATCAACCCCGACTAACCATCACTGTGGCAATATCAGCCCCTCACAGTGAATGAACGTAATGACATACTATGGCTACCTTAGCTCATATTGGGTTATTAGTTTTCAAAGCTGGTACACTAGATCTTCACTAAAAACTGAACTATGATCTTGAAAGGATCAAACTCACTTCTTTTCCAGAAAGCTTTCATTAAATATTTTAGACACATAACACAGTAGCACGTATAATCTCTAGGTTTTTTAAAATTATCCTTACAGTAATAAATCGAAAACCTTTTCACAAATCTTTGCATAAGTTTTATATAGTTTGATTGCTTGTGTTTGGTTTGGTGAAATACAGAGTGGTAAAAGATCACCTATTAGTGAAAAAAAACCACAGTAAACAGAACAAACTGTCAGAAGTCTCATATCAGAAAAACTAGTTTCGACACATTTGTGCATCTTCTTCAGTCTCATGTTCAGAAGACAACGCGAGACTAAAGAGGAAACATGAATATGTCAAAACTAGTTTCACTGATATCAGACTTCTGACAGTTTGTTCTGTTTACTGTGGGTTTTTCACTAATTGCTATACACAATATTGTGTTCTTTTATTATTAAGATTACCTGTTCCAGAAAACAGTACAGTATTTCTTGTACTGCCTAAATGTTATTAACTTGTATTTAAAACAAAGGGGTGATGGTATACTTCCAATTTAACAAGCCATAACTGTGAGAAAACAGGTGTAGATGAGCAAATATTTAACACTAAACAGAGGTAACACAGAACTGAAACACAAATCATGAAGCATCTTGAAGTTATAGCCATCAACAATATTATGCATAATTAGTTCTAAATACAAGTTTGCTATTGCTAATGTAAAAAGTGAAAAAATTCAAACTCCACACACACACACAACAAAAAAAAAGTGCCAAAGAAACACAATTAGTAATTGTAATGGACAAATATTTATCTTTAAGTAACCACTATTTAGTATATACACGAGCAATAACTAACAATCATGGAATTAATTTGTCTTAAAAATACATTATATCCAATTCATATTTTGTATTTCTTCTCCTAACACAACCACAAGTGTGTGTGTATATATATATAGTGCATGTGCTTTTATTTTTTAAATTATCATTGAGAATCATCCATACTATGGTTACAATTGGAAATGGATACATACTAACAGTTTACAACTTCCAAAATTGGAGGTAAGTGTAAGAATTAACCTATCTACCTACAATGAACACATAGTGCATATTTAAGTTTATGGAAGCCACTATTACAAAGTTGATCAGGGAACAAGTTACTTAAGCCCTGCTGTATTATTATTTTCATTTTTTCACACCACTAAAAATTTAACAGTGCACGGCAACCTGTTGCCAAAAGCTAGGTGTTTAATGTGAGCCATGCTTATGACAGATGCATAACTTAATCCATGTTTGCAAACCTACTTTTGTAGTAGTGAATCATAGTGTTCTCACAATCAATTTTCTATTGCATACATCATCACTTCCACATTTATGTGAACAATAGACTAAGTTCAGGTTTAAACATTTAGTTAAAACAATGCTAAATAATTTATCAGACTTTTACATATTTTAAAGTAATGAAAACAGTTTAGTAAGAATATTTGTGTTTCAGTCACACACATACAATCAATACTTTTATTAACGAGTTTCTGACTGTAACATAATTTCAGCTAGACATAAAAAAAAAAATTGCAAAGAGGGAGGCTTTTTACCCATATAGCTAATGTTAGTTGTCAAATAACATGTACAAGAAATATATAGAGCTGATCTACCAATGCTGTTTGGACAACCAGTAACATCTAAATATTTCTGTATCATATGAAACAACATTTCAACCAAATTGAACTAAGCATAGACCTTTGAACAGAAACTATTTGTGAAACATCTAACTTAACACTCTGGACATTAACATACTCTAACATTATTTTGAAATAAGTATTTCATTAGCTGCAAATGTACAATTATCCTTAGCTATGGATTTAATTGAATATTTCATTGTTTTTCACCATTTTGACCTAAGCACTGTTGTAAACACACTCTGGAACTACTAGTGTGCCATAACTCTGAACTAAGTCTGAATGTGGACACAGTCTCTTCACTACTAGTTTACCATGACTCTGAACTAAGACTGAATGTGGACAGAGACTCTTCACTACTAGTTTACCATGACTCTGAACTAAGACTGAATGTGGACAGAGACTCTTCACTACTAGTTTACCATGACTCTGAACTAAGTCTCAATTTGGACACAGTCTCTTCACTACTAGTTTACCATGACTCTGAACTAAGACTGAATGTAGACACAGTCTCTTCACTACTAGTTTATCATGACTCTGAACTAAGTCTCAATGTGGACACAATCTCTAAAATACTAGTATATCATAACTCTGAACCAAGCCTCAATCTGGGCACAATCTCTTCACTACTGGTGTACCATCACTCTGAACCAAGCCTCAATCTGGGCACAATTTCTTCACTACTGGTGTACCATCACTCTGAACCAAGCCTCAATCTAAGCACAATCTGTTCACTACAGGTGTACCATCACTCTGAACCAAGCCTCAATCTAAGCACAATCTGTTCAGTACAGGTGTACCATCACTCTGAACCAAGCCTCAATCTGGGCACAATCTCTTCACTACTAGTGAAGTATGTGGACACAAACTGTATACTATTAGTGTATTATCATTTTAAATTAAATTTTAGTGTGGACACACACTAGCTATTGCTTGTGCACCATCACTATGACCAACATCACAAACAATCTTTTCACTATTAGTGTATCTTCACTCTTAACTAAGTTTCAACATGAATACACATTAGGTACTACTAGTGTACCACGAGTCTGAACTAAACTTTGTTGTAAACACATTGAATACTATGAGTGTATCATCACTACAAAAAATGTATTTCTGTTAACTCTATACATACTAGTACGTTGCCATTATTTTGAGTTAAATTTCACTTTGGATATTATTAGTATACCATTTCTCTAGATTAAATAACACTGGATATTATACTATAATTGTACTATAATTCTCCAAGTTAAAGGAAAACAAATCTAATAATAAAGTAAGAAACTGAAGTAATTAAAATATCAATACTTTAGACATAAACAAGAGTTCTTATGAATCTAGTTACAGCTAACCTTGAGAGGTATTTTGGTTATGGTCCATTCTAAGTCTGTAAATTATTAAATCAAAAGTTGTCAGCTAGTTCAAATGGAGACAGTTTAAAAACAGTGGAAAATTTATGAATTACTTCTCTGTATTTTATGGTAGTAATTTCAAATACTTATAAATCTTACAGTATAGAACTAAAATATTAAAACATCTTGATTACAGTATTAAATCTATTTTTCCAGAAAAAAAATTAGTATTTCTCTTTATATGTATACCCTATATACATAGACTCTAAGAAATATACAAACATATACACACACACACATATACATATCCGTGTGTATGTATGTATGTATGTGTATATCTCAATATATATATATCATTTTCATACCATTACTGTATTACTAAAACAATTCCTTTTTAAATTGGTCATAAAATTAAAAGACAAATAAAGACACCTTCACTTCTGGCAAAGGAATCTTCTAATTCTACACACACATAAACACACAGGTTTGATCAAGTACTTTTAATGAAGAAACTTAAAACATTGTCTTTCGAAGATTTCTTGGAATGCTAGAAGTGGTGAATGATAATTTTTGAAGTTACTACAATATAATGATGGCAACGACAAAGTGTTAAGGGTTTGCTGTTAATCTCAAGATCTGTTATTTTTCCTTGCTTTACTGGGTGAGGTTTCATCATTACTGCTGCTACCATTAGCATTACTACTGTCATCACTTCTTAAGTCTCTTACCTAAAAATAAGAAAATTTTTCTTAATGACTCCAAAAATTAGAGAACAAAATTAATACATACCTAAGATTCACATATACTAATTTTGACTCCTTAAACTAGTTTGGTGATCATTTGCTGCAAACTGTATAACTGATGTAAATGAACTCGGCTATAAGGTAAAAATTACATTACTTTGTTACAATGTATTCGTAAGATTTATAATCTAAAATGGCATTTATATATAAAAAGTACATTCCAGAGTATATATACACAGAGTACATTGTGCCAGTCATGCTAATAAGTTTAGTTACAACAAAACACTATCCAAAAGAATACATTTACCCAGAAAATGTTTTAAACAGGAATTATTACATCAGTTTGTCAAGTTTTTTAAAAGGATAATAATGTTTTAAATTTGAAAAGGAATTAAAATGTAGTATTCAATGACAAGGAACCCACTTTGAGACTAATAATGTTTGGAGACAGCTTGAATGGGTAATGAAGAAAAACTTTAATAGAAG